TAGCCCACCATCCCATGTGGGAGTCGAACTGGAAACCTTGTTGCTAAGATCTAACGCTCTAACCACTGAGCCATCCTGCCAACAGCTCAGCTCCGGTGCACGCTCACTGGCCCATGTAGGAATCGAACTGGTTACCCTTTTGCTCAGAGCTTGCACTCTTAACAACTGAGCCACTCAGCCGGCCAATTGTTACTATTCTTGAACTTAGAAGTTTGAAGTTTCAAAAAAAAAAAAAAAGATAAAAAAATGAAACTTTAAACTCTCTTTCAATTTGTTTCAATAGCTGTTAGATATTTCCAACAAGGTCTTCTGTAAGAAATTGAATAAACAAACAGATACATTGTTTTTAGTGCCTCTATAAATAACTTAACTCTAGTTGTAATGAAGTGTAAGACATAGCAGCAAACACATAATATAGCCAAGGAATAGCTCCTTCATTAGGTGCTATGAGAATTTCAGTAAAATTCACATACTGTTCTTTATTTTTAAGGAGCTTAAAATTTACTAAGAAACAGATAAAATTCAATGTCTAGTTGCTATGGATCATTAACAGTGCTCTTAACACTGAGCAAACTTGCTATCAAATAGTATGTATTTAACTAAAATTCAATTCTCTTTAATTGTATGATTTCACCATTCAATGTTTCTCTCACCCCACTCCAAAATTTAAAAAAATGTCTTAATATCTGCATATATTTCACGACGAATGCAGTGAGGCTACATCATGGAATCATTTTATTTCCACGAATTCACCCCTATGCCCTCAATGGAAAAAACTGAAGATTCCAATAGCACAGACACCATTTCACTTCATAATCAGGCCTTCCTCAAGGGCACCAAGCACAAGTGAGAGAAGGGAGCTGTCCAGTTACCTATGCCTCTCTCCTTGCATGCATCTTGCCAAGCTCTAATCCCAGTATGTAACGTGTGTTTGTGTAACAAAGCCCCTAATGCAAACCGATTTCTTCATCTGGTGCTTAACTAAAGAAATTTATTTTTGCAGTTTCTGAAGGAAAAACTAGCTATTTTGCACTTCTGTGAGATGGAATGTGTATACTATACTTTGTGATCACTTTAAGGGATTTTTAAGGGTAATTTAAACTAAACTCTTTTTATTTGGGTCATGTGTGCTAACACACAACCTAACTCTATTCTAACATGCAACTCCAACATAAATATATTCTATTTCATTATTATGGCAAGAATATAACACACTTGAAAGCAAGGACGACTTCTTTCTGAAGGCAACATTCAGAAACATATTCCTCAAATTTTCTAAGTCAGCTCCATACATTTCTTATTATTCCTGAGTCCCCCAACTTACATTTTTTCCCTCTGGATTATTATTTAACCTGATCTAAGCCAACTTCTACATTCTTCCTACTCATAATCAGAGCTAGAAGAAACTTAGTAATCACATACTCTATTTTTTCCTCCAAGCTCCAAGTTGGCAGGAGAGTTACATTCAGTGAGTTCCATGTTACAACCAATTCCTCCCTCTTCAACTAAAATGAATTTTTACAGAAAAGTAAAAATTTAATTGTACACAGAAGTTTAAAAACAACAATTTTTATAAAGTGATACTAAAATGCAGTGAAACAAAGCATCTCTTTGGTATTTAGAATCCTCAACCCTGACTAGGCTCTAAATCCTATGGAGAACAGTTTTAATGCTTCTCAGGGGTCTCCAGAGGACATCAGGGAATCCCATAAAACCCGGCCTCTTCTTACAAATTTTGTGATGCAACCAACTACTTTACAATTCTACTTTCTCATATCTTATTTTAATAATCCTTATCCCTGATGTTCTATATTTTAACCCTTTCCTTTAAAATAAAAAACACTATATGTACAGGTTTGAAAATCATCTTTAACAAAAAGTGCAATAAATTTTAAAAATTCTATTGAAAGCTTTTAATCTCTATTTCTAAAAATAATTTTTCATTTTCAGAATGAGGTATAAACATTGGGGGGGATCAATGTTGAGATTATTTGTCTCTATCAGCCTAGACTAAGTCACAGATGCAAAAAGTTTGTCACATCTCGATATAATTCCCTAAAGCTCACTTCTTCATGGCGTGCACTGTTTTCTTTTAAAAGGTTAGTGTAGAATGATAAATATGTTTTATACTAAGATTTAAAAGGGACCTTTCAGATCTTTCAATTAAAGTCATGTACCTAAGTACCATGGTTTAACAACCTTAACTAAAGTACGAAAGTTCTTTATAAAATTCTAACTAAAGATGTTGCTGACACATACTAAGGAAACATTATTTACTTTTTTAGCTTGCTTAATTAAACTGCCTAAAAGTCTGGGTGAACACTGCACCTTCACAATAAGGCTGACCTTAAAGGGCCAATCCATAGTGTCATAACCATTTTTTGACCATAGGCTTCTTTGAGAATGTGATGAAAGCTAAAAAGCCTCTTCCCAGAAAATTCCACATATGCACAGACACACAAAATTTTAATAAAATGTTAAGGGGAGGAGTCATCATAGAATATTAATCCCAAGGAAACTGCTATCACTGACTATCACAGCCTTGCAACATAATGCTTTTGGTATTTGTACACACTCTGATGAGGACAAGAGGGTATCATACAGGTATCTGGAGTTTGAAGTTGTAGGTGAATATTGTGGTACCTTCTGTTCTGAGGTACCCTAAACTGTTACAAGGCTACAGTAGCCTGGTTCTGCTAATTGTCCATCCCGGCTCTGCAATCCCGTGACATGTGACCCTGTGACATCTCATCCCTACCATGATCTCCACCTCTTGTCATCTAGACTCTGCAAGTTGCTTTGATGTACTTCAGCTACTATTGACAAGTAGCCATTCAGTCTGCCCTTTAACACCTTCAGTGACACAACTGAAGCTTCAGAAGGCAGGTCATTCCAGTTTTAGGAAACTGAAGAATTAATTGTAAAGTTATTTTCTAATTTCACTATCCTGATTTGTAAGTTTTAAATGGTACCCTACTGAATTTGTAATAGAGGAGAACTCTATTTACTTGCCAATAGGTAACAAAATAGCTTACCATTCAAAGTATCTAATCCTAAAACCAGGAGCAAATAATCGGTTAGCTATCCTTTTATCAAACAGAAAACTCATAATTATGTTGAAAAGCACTTTCTATTTGGAAGTCAAAATATAAGAGGATCAGTACTAGCTCAGTTCAAGAAAGAAGCAAGGTTCACATGTACACAGCATTTCCTACCATGTTGGGCTTTTTTCCACTACATAAAAAAATTAAAAATGCTTCAACATTAAAAGATGAACACTATAGTCACTTACAATTAACATCAGCTCTCTCTGCAAATAGACTATTCTCTATATTTCTATTTATGCCTGTGAGTCTGTAATAAACAGTTCTAATCAATGCAATACAAATACAGAAGTCATTATTTATTCATTAAAGGCTGGCTTTCAAGAACTACAAGTTTGTCTCAGTCACCTTCAACAGCTCCTTTTTTCACAATATCTCTTGTTGAAACCAGTGTTATTAATAAGGTCCATTTAACATATATAAAGCAATCTGATATAAATGCTTGTTTCCTTTGAAAACAAAGGAAATAAAAAAATTATATTTGACATTTTCTTCTGTAAATAATCCCACAATAGTGCTGGACAAAAAAGGTTCACAAATATTTTGCAAACAGCAGTTGATTTATTCAAATCAGATAAGAAAAATGTTAACCACCAGTTAATTGGAAAAACAATATGCAAAATCTCATTTTCAAAGTGCTACCCAGGGGGGCTCTTTATCCTGGGCTATGTCTCAGAAAGCCAAACAATGCACAGTCCTGAGGAGGCGGCTACCTTGTAAGGAGCTTCTTTTTGGCCCTTCAATAATTAAACTTCCTGCAGGAATACAAAGACGGTCCACTTAAATGAATTCTGCCTTATTTTGCAAATTACATAGGGGCACTATTTCAGTAAGTTTATATGGTAGGTATACAACAATCCCTTGTTAAGAAATACATTTCCTGATAAATACCACTTTTCTACTTTTTCAGAGTGGCTTGAAGAAAGAATGCTGTGTTTAAAACAAACTAAAAAAAGGCCTAAAAAGACAATGCCAGACCTATCACTTTATCGGAACTGCATTACATTCAAAAGGCACTTTGAAGCTCAGGAAGACAGTCCTCCCAGCATTTTTCTTGTGATAAAATCATTTATTGGATCATTTCAGTAGATTCTTCCAGCTGAAAACCCATCACAAACTGTGTACTGAGAAATATGCCTATACATATGTTGTTGGATACCCTATTATTTAAAATTAAGCCAGTTTTAAATCAATCCAGTATATATTTGTACCCAAGTAAATACTGTCAATCTCGAATTGGTTTAACAATGTCTGCTTTTCAACACAAAACTCTTTCACTACCTTGTTATTAAAATAAAATCGAACGCCCGAAATAGCTTAAAGCACGGGCTATAGATAGTCAAACACTGCCCCACCCCTTGTAAGTGTGGATGACTGGAACATTATTTTAATACACTCCATCACGCAGTAATATAGCTATAGAACCTTCACATTGGCGCCAGAAGTTCCACATTTTCCCGGTACAGTTTATTCTTAGAGTTTGCATCATCCTCAGTACCAAATGTCACCAACATACAGGTAAACTTAAGATAAGTAATTGATAACGACATGCCCTCGTAATATCCCCCTCACAACATCCATTTGCGCACTTTTCTCATTTCTTCTAATGTGAAGTTGCTAAACGTAAAAGAATTAAGGACTTTTCGCCGGTAACTACGCAATTCATTAATTGAGGCGCTGGAATCACTACATTATAAAAATTTCAAAGAGTAACAAAACAAGATGCAAAGGGGAAAAGGTCTGTTTGCTTAAATATTGAAAGGTCATATTTTTTTAAAAAGTATTTGTGGGTGCCAACCAAGACTTCCAAAACTCACCCCTCCCCCCGCCGAAAGTCTTCCCCCTCCCCCAGTCCGGGAGCGTTCGTTACTTTGACGCGGCTGGGATGCTACTCACCGAGTTTTTCCACCAACTTGAGCATCACCCCTCCAATGTGGACCTCCCCGGTCACTCTTAGGGTGACATCGCGGTTCAGGTCCGTCACATGAACGCTTAGTTCCCACGTCCCATCCGCATAGCAGCCATCTGGCATCCTTATCCCGTCCAGAGCCATGGCTCCTTCCTGCAAGCACGGAGGAAATGGCTCTCGTAAGCGTCACTCCCCCAAAGGAAGGCAAATCCCACCGAATTCGCAGAGCCGGCCGCGGGGTGGGAGGTGGAGGACCCGCGGGTTTCCGCACGAACTCCGGAGAGCGGCGGCGGCGGGGCAGGGCTGCGGGCACACTGCGCCCTGCGCCTCTTCCCGGCGGCCGCCCTGCGCTCCCGCCCGCAGCGGCCCTCGGCGGCCACGGCGCCCCGCGCGGCTCCAGCCTAGCGGCCCGCGCCTAGCGGACCGTGGCGGGCTTCACCTGCCGGCCTGCGAGCCGCACCCCGACCCGGGGAGACGCCGCCCGCGGGCTCCACATTCCTCCTCCCCAGCCGCGCTCCCCCTCGGGTCCCAGCCCCTCACCGCGCGTTCCTCGCGCTCCCGGCCTGGGGCTCGCGCGGCGACAGGCGCGGCGGCGAGGGCTGGCGGGGCGGCGGCGTCCGGTCCCCCTCTCCACCCGGCGAAGCGCAGCCTCCCGGCCCGAGCCACTAATGGAGTCCCGTCGTCGAGGCCCCTTGCCACTCTCGCAGCGCTCCACCCCTCTCTCCCCGCCCCCTCAGCCCCAGGACCGCTGGGCTGGGCGCGCCTGCTCCCTTCTCCACCGCCCAGCCGAGCCGCCCCGAGCGGGGCCAGCCGCCTCGCCCCCTCCCCCACCGGCCGCCGCGCCCGCGCTCCGGGCTGGGGGCCGAGCGGACTCCCGGGCTGGGGACCAGGCGGCGCGCGGGGGCGGGAGCTGTGCGGGGGAGGCGGGGGGCGCCCGCGGCCGCAGCAATCTCAGCCCCGCGGAGCCGCTGCCCTTTTATGGAAATGAAGGACCCGGCGTAGGGATTGAATCCAACATCCGGGCTCTCCGCGGCGGGACCTGAGGAGGGGGAGCGAAGGGCTCGCGGGTGGGCGGCCAGGCGCTCCCTTCCGCGCTCGCGTCTCTGGCTGGACGGCCCCGCGGCCGTGCGTGTCTGCACCTCCAGTCGGAGCAGGGGGCTTGTCCGTGAGAAATGGCCACAGGAAATTCCCAGGGCAAGGTCGTTTTCAGGGACCAAAGTCCCTCCGCCCCCTCCCCACGCCTGGAGCGAGTCCAAAAGTCTGGGGGCGGTGAGAGGTGCCGCACTCCGGGAGCTGGAGAGAAGGGTTTGGGACGTAAAAACTTTAAAAAGTGAATGTCCGAGCCAGCTCCATGAACATCCCACAAAAGAATGAGAAAACCCAGAGGGAGGTGAGCCACAAAAATTGCTTTGCAGGCAATGTCCGGCACAACCAGTAACTCCTACTGGACTCCCAAGAGTTTGCATGCGCTCTTAACCCATTCGGAAGCTCCTACTAGAAGCGACTCGAATACGTCCGTCTCACGATGCTCTTGAGAAAAAAGAAGAAAAAGAAAAAATCAGTGCAGTGATTTTTTTTTTCTCAGAAACTTTCTCCAGCCTCTCCAGCTCTGCTTTCCACATATTTGTGTATTTTTATATGCAACTTAGATCTAAGTCTACTAAGGCTTTTAGATAGATATACATCCTCTACTCCACTCAGCCACACCTTGAAGGAATTTTAATAGCTCTTGACTGGTGCCAGCAGGTATAGGGAAGAACTAAAGAACCTTACCTGTTGAGACTGACTAGTGATGGAGTACATACTTCCACTTCCCCCCTTTACTGTTGCACTGTGGAGCGGGCTCTATTCAGAAACAACGAGCTAGGGAAGCTGCCTCGCTGGCAAATGCATGGCTCAAAATAATTTACGTCCGGTATAGACTCAGATAAGATATACCAGGTCCCATAAAAGACCCCAGTTTTAAGAGTCTCAAAGTCGTCTTGAGCTGTGTCAAACACTTCAAAGAGAAGAAACCCACTAGGCATCAATACAATTGGGAAAAAGAGACGTTAGAGGCCTCAAGAAAGGGGTGGGACCCGTACAGGAGTGAAAGGAAAGCGGCGAAATTTAGTCAGATGCCAGCGGTTTGGCACAAAAAATACGGAAAACCACTATAGTATTTTCAGCTAGTCATCATGGAGAAATTGATGCCCCGAGTCTGTAGTCTGTCCACTTTCCAATTATGTCTACCCATGGAAGTTCCAAGTAGTTCGCTGGGAAGCAATATGAATGTCCAGGCAGAAGAGGATGTTTATGTAAATTATGGCGTTGAAATTTATAGGAAAATGTAATAAAATAGGAAATTGCTTGTTATGGTACAAAACTACATGCCGCTGTAAAATCACAAGCTTATCTATTCTTAAATATTCAGAGAAAAAAGTCTGCAAGGAAACACCAAAATGTTAACAAGTTGTCTGTGTGTTGAGATTATAGGAGATTTTGTGTGTCTTTTATTGTTCTTCATTTTCTACAAACTCCAAAGCTTTGCATTCAGAGCCTTTCTATCACCAGCTTGCATTGCATTCAGCGTCTCAATTTCTCTGTGCAAACTATACATTCACAATGATGGACACGACAGATAGAGCAGCTCCCGGACTTCTGGCAGGGTTTTCAGGGGTTTCCTTGTGTTTTTTAATATCCCCAAATAACACATGAGTTCTTTGAGATCAGGGACTTCAAATTCTTTGCATTGCCCACAAATTGACAAGTAGCTTGGCACAAAGAAAATGGAAAACATGTTAGCACCAAATTAACACAAATGTCAAGGAAACAGTAGGTCTTTTCCATGGACAAATGTCATTATTGGGAAAATACTGGTTTTTAAATTTTTATGTGTTTATTTTCACACCTTATCCCCAAAAGATTTATGGCACTGTATACGGATGCATAAACTATGAGCTAGAATATATTATCAATGGTACAAAACAAGCTCATTGTTTTGTGGGAAACAATGGGGAAAAAAGCTCAAGGTGGGGGGATAGAGATTTAAAATGGAACCTGGAATGAGGCTAAAAACTGTACCTTCATGACCTTTGCAAGGGCTTCAATAAGCTCAGAATAACTATGGCTTCTCAAAACATGCCTTTATAGAACCATAAATATCCATGTCCTTTCTGACTATTCCCTTTCCTTCAGACAAATTAGTGGAAGACAACTGTCATGTCTCAGAAACTCTTTTAATATTCAGTTTCCACATTCCAGTTCTTTTGTCACTTTCTTGTGTGTTACTTTCTGAACCTCCCACTGCAATACCTGCTACACTGACTGCTGCCCATTTGTATGAATGTTCCTTACATTTAGTGATGGGGGCAGGGGGAGAGATTTAATATTGTGAATAACAGCCCCATTTCTTAACATTTGAAATAGTTTAATTAGAGCTTTATAGGAGACTTGACTAGCTTTAGAAAACCAGCAGTTTATGTTTGAGCAGTAGAAAGCACAGGAAGGCAGTGACCCTCTGTTAAGTACCATTGGAGGAATAATTAGATTAGGATGGGTGCAGCTGGTCCCTTCAGGCCTTCTGTTTGAGTATTTCAAGCTGTTGCTTGCTTTGAAGATTAAAGAGGAGTCAAACTCGAATCTCTGAAATCTTCTTTTTCTAGTTTATCAAATGAAACCTTCAAGTGCATTTCTTAAATGTTTACTTCCACCTAAAGTTTTTCCGTGTATTTAGATGTGGAATCTTATCTGAAATCTCCCACTAGAACCTCTAAGTCAGTGCAATACTTGTGGTACTTACATCATACTGAAAAGGAGCCGAGAACTCCAGTGTTTGGAAGAACAGCTCAAGCATCGAAAGCAGCAATATCCAAATAAGGTACCAAGCACTGGACTTAGATTTAGACCAAACGATACCTCGCAGATCTGCCATCAAAGGCAGCCCTCGGGCTTGGTAATCTGCAGGTTGACTTTTTCTCGGAGCCTAAACTGTGCTTTATATTTCTAAAAGGTTAATACACAATATAACCCACTGAGTTTGAAAAAAAAAGAAGGGTTGGGGGATAGGAGAAAATAAGAGGTTTGTGTGAGTGTGAATGTGTAAGGGTGGTTAAAAATGCTCTTAAAAAATGCCACACAAGGCCAGCAAGATGAAATGTAATGAATGATTCCTGTCAAATACCAGGTGAGCAGAATTCTCTCTTTGTCTCAGAGACTGCCAAAATTGGAACATAATGGTAAAGCTACTAAAAAGGTAGAAATTCAGAGGCATGGGGTGTGAGCTCAGAATGGGAGGGAAGGTTGTAGAGGCCACGTTTTTGGATAGAAGTGAGCAGTCACTGCAAACTGCAAGAAAAGGACTGGCAAACTGAGAAACAAGGAAGACTTGTTAGGAGTGGAGCTGTTTCAACACAGACCTAAAGAAGGGCTCTGAGATACAATGAAGTCTCTACTTCAAGGGAAAAGAAACTCACTGTCTAGGTTATAGAAAGTGTTTTGTAGAAAATCATGCCAGGGGATACTTAAAAAAAATTTTTTTTCCTTTGATTTAATTTGAATATCATGTCATTTTGTGAAATGTTCTGCCCCTAACAAAAATATGAAATGTTCACACGTACACTCACACAAACAAGGTAGCTAGTTGTTGTGCTTATCACAATGCAGGCAGGGCACTGAGACAGACATGTAGATGTGTAACAGGTCACAAGCTCTTAAGGAACATCTATCTAATGCAGGAGCTTATATTTAAAACATCAGAAAGGATAGCCACGTGCAAAGAGAATGAAAACAGAACCCTACTTTACACCATAAATAAAAATTAACTCAAAATGGATCACAGACCTAAATGTAAGATCTGTAAAATTCTTACCAGGAAAACAGGAGTAAACCTTTTTGACCTTGGATTAGGCAATGGCTTCTTAGATATGGCATCAAAGCAAAAGTGACAAAAGAAAAACTAAATTAGATTTTATCAAAATTAAAAATGCCTATGTTTCAAAGGACAACACCAAAAATGTGAAAAAGCAATGCACAGAATGGGAAAAAGTATTTGAAAATCATATATCTTTTAAGGGACTTATATCTAGAATATATAAAGAGCTATTACATCTCAACAGTAAGACAAATAACCTAATTAAAATGGGCAACTGATCTGAATAGACAGTTCCCCAAAGAAGATATATAAATGGCCAATAAGCCCATAATAAAATGCTTAACATCATTAGGCCTTAGGGAAATGCAAATCAAAATCATAATGAGATAACACTTCACACCCACTAAATGATATGATATAAAAGATGACAAAGCACATTTTGGCTAGGATGTGGAGAAATTGCAAGTTCGTACACTATTTGTGGGAATGCAAAATGATCAGCTGTTTTGGAAAGCAATGTAGCAGTTCCTCAGCACATTAAACATTGAGTTACCATATAACCGAGCAATTCTACTCCTAGGTATATATCCCCAAGAAAACTGAAAACATATGTCCACACAAATTCTTGTATATGAATGTTAATAATAGCCAAAACATGGAAACAACCCAAATGTCTTTCACGTGATGAATGAAAGACATTTGGGTTGTTTCCATCTTTGGGTTATTATTAATATTAGTACAAGTATTTCAAAAATGACTCATAAAATTGAAAGGGAGAAAAACTATTACTGTAAA